CCTAATCTCTTCCAGGGGCCTCGTTGTTCGGCTGATGTACGCCACTTCACAGGAGTAAGTGAATTATTAGATGCAAATGAAAGTGGCAGCACATAGTAATGCTCTACAGTAAAATGTAATTACTTATTAGTGTTCTGGCATTCAGATTTGTCCGAACTATGATTCTTTAGTTCCAAAATGGTTACAGCTCACTGTCAAACTAACAAGTACCATCTTACATGAACTAGGGACGTTGAATCGTCTACCGTCGACACCCTGTTCCGGAAAGTTGCTTGAGCCATTCTACTCGTTACGGCTGATCATTCAAGTCTGTAGATGTAACCACTGAGTCGATCTACCGAGGCCTTCGTTGTGGGGAATAACTTTGGTCTAGGGGAAAAAGGGGCACAATGAGGATTTTGGAAACTTTGCAACTTTGCTTGACTACGAGATATGTGAACCGATCAAATCACATAATATTGCCATGCACATATAAGCTCAGATTCAACTCTAAGTTTGCAACACTTCCATAATGTAAGCACTTCATTGACCCTTTCTGCGCCTCTCAATTTTGATCACATACTGTCCAATTCCGTTTTGAACTTATCTTTCCTGCACTGCTTCAGCGATGCCGGATTTCAAAATGCGATTGAGTGTTCAGAACAATCACCGACAAATCTGCAGCTACAGGTGAGTGCTATGAAGGATCGCATCACCGCGAAAGCACTGTGGAATTTCTGTGCCCAATTCGGAGAAGTTATTGATGTCTGCTTGCCTGTGGATCCGTCAACAAACCGACCCTATGAAGTTGGCCTCATTACGCTGCGTCCATCCTGCAGTATGGAGTATATTCTTGAGATAGAACACATTCTCTCAGATTTGCACATTAAAATCAAGATGGTTGAAAGGGGCAACTGGAAGAGTGGGGCACCAGAGTCATTTGATACCAGGTTAGCTTTTCATCAATTTGCGTTTAAGAATGTATTGCGTCTAATTTGGTTTAATTCAGTATATATAAGGGGGATAGGCACAGCCTTTGAAAACCTTATTAAAATGCTGGTATTTTTTATCATATATTTCCTGGTGTAATTATCCATGACTTTGGTTGATTATTATTGAAACATTTGGGAAAATTAACATTTATTACTTTCCGATTTCCGAATTTGAACGCGGGAGTACTCGGAAAAATATATTCACCTATGATTTATCATATCTTTTTTATACCTAATATCAAGAAATATGGCATTGTGAATCATTTCAGACGTGTGAAGAGACCTTAACAGTTACTTCGACAATTACCGAATGTAGGTCCGTCGGCGCTATCAGGATTAAATACTTCATCGAAATCGACGAACTCAGCGTGATGATTATGTCGATTGTTTATTATCCAAAAACACAATCAGCCTGAAACAACGCGACATATCTTATTCCTTGGCCAATCTTACTTCATTCATAGTGCAAACAACCATCGATAAATTTCATTTAATTTCACTAACAGAGTTTATAGAAACACTACTTTTTTACATTTTGTATTCAATTACGGCTCAAATTAACAGAGATAGGAACATGTTTGCATAAACAGGACGTTCAGGTTTACATCATCCGTAATTTGGCTCGACAGGGTAGAAAGACCTGGCCATAAGGATTATTTCCTAGGATGCGACTGCCTCACTGAGTCTCGTCTTTGCCCCTCATTTAAGATATTATAAGGTGTTTTTAATGCAGAACCTACAATTTGCATTCGATAAAAATCTGCATAAAGAAGGTGCATTCTTATGGTTTTAGTTTAAACATGTCAATAAATTGGCCTATGTTACGTAACAGTTCTTGTGGATTTGGAGGACATGTAAAGCAGGGTTTAAGTGCATCAAACGTACGCGCAAGATTGCACTGAAATAATCGTGTGATGATTTAATTTAATGTTATGTATAAGGATACTCCTTGAACTGTAACAGGTCAGGTAGAAAACCATTGTACCCTGCCATTAATGCCCTTCCGAAGTACACCTTAAATCGCACCTCTATTACATATTGTGAATCAAGCTGGTATAACTAAATCCTCCTAGGAAAACTGTCACTTAGTGAATTAACATTTTCCGAAGAAAATGAACGAGCAAAACAGAGGCTATCTTGTTTAGTTATTTTCCTATACTATCGGATAACTCAACTGACAAAATCGCTTAATTGCTAACCTCTGCTGCTTTTCGTGATGACTTGTCGTCTCGATATGGAATCGCATCACTAAAGCCAATCTGCGAATTTAATTACGATGTTGTGATGAAGAGTAAAAGGTCAATAATGAAAACAGAAGTTTTTCTAATCACCGAATAATTTCAGTACGCCTACGATATCCGATATCGTACAAGTATAGGCCGTTAGAGACAAAATCAAAAACGATAATACGTAAAAGTTATAGAGGTAGTAGCCACCCATCTTAAGTTGGCTATATATGCCTAGCAGACCCACTGCCTACATTGGGAAGGTGTTCATAAACGACCACATGCGTGTTTAACCTCGGAGAAACCAGTCAGAAACGTCAATGGTACTGCGGGCTTTGTAATGCACCGTGATTGTGTAAGACGCGACTAAGCATACCGTTCCATAGCCTACATAAATTGCAGAATCATCAAAAGCAAGGACCGATTAAATCCTAGTGAGCAGCCGGGAGTATTGTGCCGGAATTGCCCTTGTCACTACACGGGTCAGACACAATGCATGCTCGAATCGCGCAAGCACGAACATAACCAGGCTGTGTGAAATGGTGACAGATAGTCGGATGATAATACATTCAATCGACATATAGATCTGGCGGTGGCATACAGAGCCCCATGGATCTATGTAAGGACTGGCTCTTTGGTCGTTTGATTGAATAGTTTGCGTTGTTTATCCTTAAGATGGTGTCCCGTAGGAGGGGGAAAACACAGATGCATAACAAAGATGCCGCGATGATGGAAGAGCCTTCTTCCTTCTTATTTATAAAAACACCTGCAATGCTAATATTTTCCGTAACTCCTGTGCTTTATTTCATGTGTTCCAAGTACTCCTTGATTCTCTTTTCGTCATGTACGAGTATTGCTTTCTGTATGTTTATTTTGTTTTCAGCCAGGTAGGACCGAATAATACGATTGTGTGTGCCGACCAACAGCGAGCAACTGCGCAGCTATATGTCAAGGGTGTGAATGCCAGCATCACGGTGGAATTACTGTCGGCCTACTTTGTGCGGTTTGGAGAGGTAATATATGTGTTTCGGTTCCTAGATCCGTACACAAACAGTCCCTATGGAATTGCCTACACCAACGCTGTGTCCATCGTGCGATATAGAGGTTATTCTTCAGACAGAACACGTCCTCTTGGGCGTTCACGTTCATGCTTGGATCCTGGGCGCTGAAGGCGAACATAAGAGCGTTGAAACAACATCATCTTCTTCAAGGTTAGATTGCCAATTTGAAGTCACCATTTACTTTTCCTATGAGTATCTGTTCCACAACACGAAGTGCCCTTGTCAAAATTATTGCTGTAAATGCTTTCGGGAATGTATTCGATTAAAACCTAAATGGTAACAAACGTTTAACATCTAACGCGTTTTTTTTCAATTTACGTATTAAGCCGTGGCAAAGCTCGCCCCGCTCGTCCCTCTTGCATCTCTTCGTCTAGCTAACTTTAATAATCTCCAGCTTCGCGATGTTTATAGTATTTATTCCTAACCATCTATATCCTACAAGTAGCACCAGTATGCATCTATCACTGTTAATTAACGTTAGCTGAAAATCATATTCACATCATATGCTAGCATGCGATCTGCATGCGGGCATCCCTATTAAGTGGTGTTTAATTGTTAAGTGTCAGCTCTCAATTGTCCTTCCTCTACAACCTAAACACCAACCGCATCATTTCGTGTTGATAACGGACGGATACCGGAGAAGAGGTACACGCGATCGCTGGGACTATAATACGATTCGTCTAACATTTCGGAGCAATCATCAGAGGCAGTAGCAGTAGCGGGCTACTTGTATACAATCATCAGTTGTCAGTATTAGTCATCAAGCGCACACGTCAAGCGAACTTTGACATTTTGCGTTGTGTACAGTCGGTTTAAACAAAATGGCCAGCTCAAACTAAGACGAAGGTACTACAGCTCAGGTAGCTTGCAAATCGACACATATATACAGGGAATTTCAGGATTCAGAAAAGCAGGATGCGATCACTGGAACAAAGGCTTTATTTTATATACGTTTCGGATTCCGTCGGAAATCCTTAATCATTGATGATGGTAACAAAGTAATGGTCATGTGCAGAAAGGGTTGACACGTGCACAGGTTGCATGGTGGTCATCCGCGTGTGTGTTAATTATTCACTTCTGTAGCCACCGTCTGGGTCTTACTTGATGTGGTACTGGCTTGAAATTTCGCGTTTGTCTCACTAATTGCCACAATTGCCTTGTCAGCGTTGGATGCGGGCTTGATAATTGCGTGAAAATTATGTCCGCTGTCATCAGAGTTGTTACTGCACCCGGCCCTTCCCACGTGACTAATTCTCTTGTTCATAAAACTTATCAGTACACCATATTGGATAATGAAATCGTTATGCTTGACCATGACTATATTGCCATCATCTGTGAGTTAGGATTGCCGACGGAATCCAAAACGTCAGGCAAATAAAACTTTTGTTCCAGTCATCGCATCCTCTTCTTCTGAAGTGCTTCCTGGGACTCGCATATTCTCTCAGAATTTATAGGTTGCAATGATTATGCAATCACAAACCTAAGTCTACTGCTATCAAAGTTGTTTGATGCTTGCTGAAATTAAATCATACCTGTCGGAGATTGGCATGTTTATTGCTGCGCTTCCAGACTCACCGGCAATTATTTGATGAAAGGTAGCCACAATGCTGAACGTCAATTACAGAGGTCACTGAACGTATTTATTGATTATAGCTATTAACCTTGACTCAAGCAGCTCGCGGCTTACAGGATTGTCACCTTCCGTTATTATTTTGGTCTAATCTAACTTGCATATATGACCAATATTTGTCAACTGAGCCAAGACATAAAAACTGGTAACATTTCTACGCACTGCTGCCACGTATTCGAAGTACTAGCGTTACCCAAAACCGCATCTTATCCCATAAACTGATGTAGATTTTCCTTGCTGTATACGTAGGGGTTTCGTCGCATTATCTGACGCCTTAAGGCCGCCTTCGGTCTTTTGGTGGCTCTAACGCCAAGTGCTGTAAGAAGGTGGCTGATGGCTTCCCAGATCGCCTTGGCATACGCAACACCCTTGATGAAATAGGAAATCCTCGATTTTTTCGCTCGTCTCGTTTGGGCATGCATCGCATGACAACGTTTGCGTGGGCAACTTTTTACCTGAACATGCTTCGAATATGTTTTACTAAGGCAACCCCGTCTATCGTTTGATTGGAATGCATCTCAACACGCTGATGTTGTGTCTTTGGTGACTGATTGCAGAGTTGCTGTAAGAATTTCATAATTGCGTCATATTTATCACTTTTCTGAAAGCGTTGGACTGTGGATCACAAAAAATAGGTGTGTTGTGAACAGTTCAGGTTTTGCCTTGCACAATACGTGGCAGGTTTAAAGATTAATAAGAACTATGAAATGTCCAATTCGGATTGGAATCTCAATCATTCAGTTATCTTTCATTTCGGTATCAATATTTACAAAAACTCAAAGAAGCACCATTGACTTTGTTACCTTGAATTCCCGTCGGACAAACAATAAAAACAAAAGAAAATTGCAGGTAG